CGGGCTTGCAATATTCTCCCATTTTTTGGTATTTGGATAATTCGAATAATATAAAAATCTTTTATCCGAATAAAACGGATAAAATTAATATTTAATAAATTGGTTTTAATAAACTATCAATCTTTAAAAAACCTTCTTATTATTACAAAAATAAAAATTATCAGTTGATATTTTACAATAATAAGTAATACCAATTACGCCAATTATTTTAACATATAAAATATTAATATTATTAGGATGGTATGATATTAGGTTAGCTATTAGGGTAATCATTAACAGTAAGTAAGTATAGTGTATTTGTATCCGGATTAACAATTTAATCATAAAATAATGGGGTAGAATAGCCGTGACCTAAATTCTACTTAGCTAGTCAAATAATTCTATGAAATTTTACATCCTTGTTGTATTTTATTATAGTTGAAGACAAATTATTTGTATCGATGAATGGTATCTGTTAAACGACTTATCCTTTCTATTACAGTAGGGTAATAAAACCATTAACAATTCTTCAAATTAATGTCACTGTAATTATTTACCGACCTACATAACATTGTAACGAATTTGAGCCAGATAAGGTTTTCCGAAATGGAACACTAAACGGAGTAGTTTTGTTACGAGGATGGGAACACTCAATTTGAGTTTTTAAAGCAAGTGAGGACAATTCACCTCATGATGAACCAATTTTTTTAAACATGATGAAAGATTAACTGCCTCCATAGCCGAACGGTTACTACGCTGGACTGATGAACGAACACTTAGGAAAAATTCCTTAGATCCGGCCGGATTCAAACCGACGTCTTCTAGCAAACCTTGCCAGACGTGTTTACATATTATTCGAATTATCCGACGACGAGTGCAAAATCCGTATACCAAATTTGACGGATATTCGAATAAAACGAATATTCGGATATCGGAATTGCAAGCCCTACTCTTGGCACAATTTCCAATTGCATCCTTAACGGCAGAAATAGGTAAGGTGGCAGTACTTCCCTGGACGAACTCTTTAACAAGCAGTTCTTCTCTTCTACTACAGGTTCCCAATTATGATAATAACCATATCATATCGTAAATCCAAAGCGTGCTTTTTTATATCCGGCTCAAAGGTCCTTACTTCGACATCAAGGTATCGATACATTTTATCAAATTTCTAACGTAATCTATCGTAGCATACGGTGTATCATTTGATGATTAAGTATGTGTATATGTTACGGGCGATTTGATAAGCCCAGTCTATATTAATAATAATAATGTGCCTGACAACCACACAAATTAGTTAATAGATTCAGGCGTTACTTTGCGGAAGTCCATGGTAATAAAAATGGATGTAAATTCATTTGCTACTCCGCGAACCCAATGAAGGTTGAATCGTGCAAAATAGCTGCGCTTGTGTTGTGTATTTTTTTCATGCAGTTATTTTCCCACCCTCCCTACGCATAAAATTAATAAAATACCCAATCGTAACTACAGTCACAAACCACTAAAAATATACCCGACACATGTTTCGCCTCTGCACGAGGCATCCTCAGGGGTTGTTGACTGCTTGACACTCGGCCGAAGAATGCTCATTCAGAACGGGACGCCCGTCACATTAGTTTTTTTTTTAATATTAATGGCTTTACCTTCGCATTTAGCCAATAAAAGGGTTGGGAAAGCAGAATTACAGATTGTGGAAGAGGTACGGAATTTGGATGAAAAAGGATGTGGTAGGTTGGGTGGGTTGGTAGCTATTATACATCGGTATACATATTAAAGCTTGATAATTATTATTTTCGATAAATAAAGCCAGTACATTATAAACATCTTTTTTACATAAATATAGTAAACTTGTTATGGAGGTAGACATAATAAACGTAATATAGAAAACAAAATTTATTAGTACCATAAAAACTTTTTGCGAAGACAAAGTTTTAATTCAAACTCTTGCGAAGTTTCGTTACTGGCTAAAGAAAAAATCAAACTGAAAGTTTCTCTCTCGGTTTATGAGGTTATTTAACATAAGCTGTCATATTATCTTTATTGTAATTAATCAATGAATTTACGTGATTTACTCGTAAATACACATGCATAGTAGTGTAGGAAGTAGCCCTAAATGATATGTTAACAACTACATGATGTCCTCTAGAACGAAGTATAAGTTATTTGAGACGAACTTGGAGTAAAGTGACGTACCGCAGCTGAGTAAAAAAGGAATAGTTAGTTTTTAACCCAAATCTGGTGGTGAGGCATTTTTTCTTTAAAGTAAAAATGTATTTTATTCCATACTTACATAATTATAAGATTTGTTTTAGTTGTTAATGCGTCAGGTATACACTGTCGTTACCCTGTGTAATTTCTTTACAGTTTTCACAACGTTCCTGTGGGTTGATATATTTATGTACAAAGTGGTGTTCCTTCTTGAAAAATCGTGAAATTGTATTACGAGAATATTTGAAATCGACGTGGTATAATCACGGCAAAGTGTGATTCAATTTGAAGTTATTTATCAACGAAGTTTAGGTGAGAATGAATTAAAATACAGAACGTGTTCATATATTGATTACATCCATAAAAAAGATCACTACGTTATGAATAACCAGATTCATCATCATCAACGGCCTGTCGTAGTTCACTGCTGGACATAGGCCTCTCCCAATGCGCGCCATCTCGCTCGGTCCTCAGATCGTTGTATCTATCTGCTGCCAGCAGCCTTTCGCAAATCGTCACTCCATCTGGCCGGAGGGCGTCCTTCACTACGTTTGCTGAGCCGTGGTCTCCACTCAAGAACTCGATACCCTCATCGGTTACCGGTTCTTCGACAGATATGGCAGCCCACTACCACTTCAGCTTGCTTATTCTAGCAGCTATGTCGACGACCTTAATTCTCTGTAGAATAACCTCGTTCCGTACCTTGTCCTTCAAAGAAACTCCAAGCATAACTTGCTGACTGTCAACTGGTGAACTAACCGTATCGTGAGTGTCCACGTCTCGGTTCCGTATGTCTGAACAGGTAGAACGCACTGATTAAAAAAACCTTCGTTTTCAAACTTTGCGGTATGGTTGACGAAAAGACTCGACGTAGTTTACTAAATGCAGCCCAGACAGACCAGATTAGAAATAGTGTTTCTGTATTCGAGATACCCTTTTCGTTTTTACTATGAAGCTGACTTTGCTTCGGCACATAGTTTTGGTGATTCTGTAGAGCGATATATTTCAACGCGAGCTTATATTTTAGGAGGTATGGAGGGTCGTCTCTCGAGAAAATAAAGTGGCATTACTTCCCAGGACGAACTCTTTCACAAGGAAGTCTACTGCTACTAATAAGCAGACCTCATCCCCTAGTTTACCACCCTTAGAGATAGAATATTTCCTTCAGATTTAAATGGGACCACTACTTTTACATTTTTTCAAAAACATCGTCAAAATCGATTCACAAATTCCGGAGTCATCGCGTAACATATGTACATACGAAAGAAAAAAAATCTATTTGGATGTGAAACGTATCCATTTAATAATACCTAACGTTATATATTAACGTTATACATTACGCCAAAACATTTGTTACCATGAATATTATTCACGTCCGTATGTTGATTTCAATACTATATTCTAGAATATAAAAGAACATTAATTTGGTTACATAAGACTTTCCGATAACTTGACAACGATAAGCATTTGTTATCAATCACTAAAGTCATGATGTATTTGTCAGATTATCTAAAATTAGGTCATTTTTAAAACTTTTCTGATGTCTACTTTAAACATCATATCGAAATATTTATCACTTTGATAAAACTATTCATGTCTAGTCACTTTTAGTCATACATATTTATTCGATGTATCATGATCATGCAATCACTAATCTAACAATACGTGTATTATATACCACAATGCAGTGAATCGGTTTTAGGATAGGTTTTATTAAGCTACCAATTTTGAAGATTTGTTTGAAACCTTCGCATGCTGGTTATTTCTTGTTCTCTGATGCTGGTCACTTTATAACGGTATCTTGAATATTAGAACAATTCAAAAAGTCTCTATGATATAATAAAAATGTTCAAGACGTCTTTGGATTCAGGGAGCTGTAATACATATACAAAAACCATTAACTGGAATTCATTTTACTAGCTTCAGAACTTGTTTTTACAAAAGAATTTTACTATTCACTTTGGATTATAAACTGAGTTAAAATTAAAACGGCTAGGGGATTGACATGTAAAAACTCGTTAAAAACCAAAAGCAAAGATCTGCAACAAGCACATAGAAAAATTCGTAAGGTCCGCTGGTTCATTCCATAGCTCAGTTGGAGGAGCTCAAGTCGCTGGTTCGAATCCAACCGGATCGAAGGAATTTTTCTTAGTGTTCGATTAATAACTGTTAATAATCTCAGTACAGAGTACTAAAAAACCGACCTCACAAGTACGTGGATTTACATCTATTTGCTAAGTTTTATTGAAATATCCCCTAGTTCGCCACTATACGGGACTTGACACAGGAGATAATAAAAATCACACTACTCAAAGTATATTGAGAGAAAAACGCCTTGAATTGGAAAATAGCAAAATCAACCATTAAAATAATTGCTCCTTATAATAAAGTTTAGGCGCTATTTATAAAAATAAATCTTCACGCGTGAACAGCCACACTTAGAGGTGGAATATTCTCTTCAAATTTAAATGGGACCAATACTGAAGTATCCTCTTCAAAGAAAAAATCACCAAAATCGGTTTACAAGTCGCATAACATACACACAAAAAAATACAGTAAAATTGAGAACCACCTCCTTTTTTTAAATCGGTTATCAAACTAGTCGAGTAATTTCACAAAAAAATGAATATTATGGTAGTAGAAACATCGTGCTATTCAATAAACTTAATATGAAAAGCAACCCACAAAGTTTTTTATTTTATCTTCTGAAGGCGTTTGCCTTCGGAATGAGGGATAGATATAAAAATATATTCATTTCAAGTATAATTTCTTTTCTTTGGCAATAAAACTGAGTTTGAATGTTTTGTTTGTTCCAGATGGGAGTCAGCCATGCCAGAGCGGTTGAAATAAACTGAACCTACTTTCTTCCTCCTATCAATTGCAAATCTTCCTCGACTTTTTTAGCAAAATATAAAACACGCACATGACTATAGTTCAAAGTATTCAAACTAAAGGGATTGGCGCTTGAATTTTGTTGGAAAACAAGATGGCGTCCTGTTTTACCGGCGGACATTTTGGACCGGGCAGTCAGGAGTATGTGCCGGTGGCTGAGTTCTACGCGGACAAGTCGGTTTTCGTCACTGGAGGCACTGGTTTTATGGGAAAGGTAAGGTACCCTTAATGTAAGTTCAGATGACAAAAATTTAAAGATCATTTTCAAATCACGCGTCCAGAAATTTGTATGTTTTACTTACACTCGTTCGCCGATTCGCGTATCGCCGAGTTCAGAGAAATACCAGGGGTCTACTCTCGACCAAATTAAAAAACAGTGTCAAGTATGAAGGTTTATTCGTATCATGCGATTGTTTCACCGTCATGCGTCCAATTGTTTCCGACGTAAAACAAGAGTACAGGGCCTGGGGGTCGATTCAGAACCTTACGATAACTCAGTTGTCGACCGATTCGATTTGATATCGTACGATTCCTGTTCATTTTTATTCACAACACCCGAATCAAACTGTCGTATTCGAAACCGAACCGAAATGACGAAAATTCGAACACAGTTATCGAATAAAAGTTACCGAACTTCCTAATATTCACAAAGCAGAATTAATATGGAAATTTCTTATTATTTTAAATAAAGTCCGGGTTTTTTCGATTTTATTAATTTATTTTAATGCAAGACCGGTGCAGTCAGACTTTAAAGGCCTATATTTTAGGTCTTTAAAGTTTTAAAAATGTATATAAAAGGATTTTCATTTTTCCTAAAATCTATTTCACCGACTAACTCCGTAAACGCTGTTGTAGAACGGTACCCAATCGAACGATTCGATTAAAATATCGAAAAGTGCTGAATCGGGGTCCTGTTCAGAATGTCCTCGCGTTTTCGTTCCAACGCGCGTCACCTAACCCTAATAAAGTTGTCTCTCGTTAAACAATGCAGTTATATATAAGGGATTTGGCAAATGTATTATATATGTCTCACTCTAAGCCTACAAAATGGCGATCCACCTTTCACGATAATTGTCACCTTTTGTGGAATTTGGATTAACATCCTTTGATGTTAATGTAAAACTTTTAATCTTTGCCTTTATTTTTAAGTTTACTTATCTATAAAAAACGATTTCGATTAAGAGCGGTTACACACGGCGATTTTTAACAGCGTGTCTGCAGCTATTCATTTGCGGCGTAGTCGCTAATCGTCTACCTTTACACACACGTGCGACTAAGGTCGTGTACGTTTTTAATGATCCAATATAAGCGTCGATGCAGTCGCGCGTTTACATCAATGCAACTGCCTATAAAGATGGCATTCCGATAGTGACAACCACCGACCCCAATTCACTGTTTTGTATAAAGAAGAATGGCGAAAGCTGTCCCAATAACGACGAAGAGGTGTTCATGGACTTTGCTAGTATAATTTTGCGTTTCAGTTTATGCCTAGTTTTTAATATAATTTTCTGTATTTTTAGAAGTCGGGAATAAAAAATTGTATTTTAGAATAGATGCAAGAACACAACGCAATTGATTCAGCTCGACCACAGATTAGGTAACGTTCTAGTATGTACGTTTAATATTAAGTATGATTGAATGTTTACCTACCTGAAGTATTGGTTATTTTAATACCTAATGAATAATCAATTAATCAGTGACACAAAGCAAAAAATGAAACACAATGTGACAAACATATTTAGACAATAGTTAAATGAGCGATAATGAAAGTTGTAAAGGTGCGTTTTGACAAGAGATCTCTTATCAAAGTCAATGTCACATTGATTTTTTTTTTAATTATTTCTGGCCATGGAAACAAAGTCCTTCAGCCGAAAACATAAACGTTTAATTATATTTCTGTAAATATGGCCACCACAAAGAGGATAGGCAATTTGAGGCGGCGTGCTTGGATTGACTCAGGATTCCTTAAAACGGGCCGATACGGGTATTTTAGTTCGAGATTCGTATAATTTCGCGTTTTAATCTTCGATTAAGGCACAATAGCACTATCCTATTCCACTTTAAACTAGATTTCACAAAATAATTGAAAGTCAAATTAAAAACGACACTTTTCCCTCCAAAAGGCCCAGAGCGAATCCTCACATTGATATTGAGGACAGTATGACCATTTGTGGCAGATTTCTGTTATTTGGGCAGATTTAATTTTTATTCATTTTCATTGCTGAAGAACATGATAAGTTATATTAAAGGTGGCAGAGTTTGACAGATTTGTGACTATTCGAGAAGTTCTTTATTATTTTCGGGAACAAACTGAAAATGTGTTGTTTTCTGCTACTACTAACAATAATCTGAAGCGAATTACAGGACAATGTTATAAACATAACCTATATCAACTTTATAACCCCAACTTCTACAGGATATACTCAATTGGCTTTTTTGATACTTTGATAATGAATCACAAGTATTTATAGGTTTCCTTAATGCACGTCGTCAAAAATACTGGGTCATAAAATACGCGGGATGTCGCCATCCTTCTTTGTAACGAGCGCTGACCAACGCAAGTGGCCGCACGACTTCACGTTGGTCAGCGCTCGATACAAAGTCATAATAAACAGTGGGCTCCATTCGTGGTCGCCAACGTCGGAATGCTACCATTAATCGCAGATGTCGCGATGCAATGCAAATTTGTATCGATACTATAAAAGTCCCTGTGTGTAACCGCTCTAAAAGTTTCGGTTGGATTTATCTTCGTCCGTGTAGGCTTTCTTCCACTTCGTCCATTATGTTATTTTCAAATTCCTTACACCTTACCTATTTCTGCCGCCAAGTAGTAATGTCAGCAATACTGTGTTCCGCTCTTGAAGGGTAGGTGCTGATGAAATTACACGTACATGAGACTTGTCAAGTTACGTCTCAGGGTGACAGGCGCAGTGGCAGTGCCCCTCACATCTTTGCGATTCAAAGCTCTGAGTGGCACTGCAAGTGTTATGGACAGGCGTGAAGCTTACCATCAGTCGCACGAGTTGTTCGTCCCATCACTTGATATGATAAAAAAAAGATTTGATTGGATATAAACTAAGCCTGTTTGCATCCGATTAAACTTCCGCCCACATGTCTGTAGGTCATTATTGTCGTTCCAGGTGCTAGTGGAGAAGCTGTTACGGAGTTGTCCGAAAATCAAGAAGATCTATCTGCTTATGCGACCCAAGCGAGGCCAGGATGTTGCCTCCCGGCTCACCGAACTCACACAGTCACCGGTAAGGAAATTTTAAAAGATAATGGAAGTAATTATAGATTGCCTACAGAAACTAATGTAATTTAACGTGATAATTACATTTTTAGCGAAATTGTTTAATTAACGTATATTATCTGGGATCAGCGACACGATCTATAACACCCTCTGCAGTGTGTGCGAATTGTCTATGATTTATCTCGAGCGCACACGGCATATGATACGGCTGTAGAGGGGGTCAGTCTGTGTACGACCGTCAGCCAGGAAGCACGTGGTGGTGCGTAAGCGACTCAAATACCAACGCTAATACTTGTAGTAGCGGATACTACACCCTCCAACTCTTTCTTTTTTTTATAATAGGTCCGTTGGTTCGTTCCGTGGCTTTGTTGGCATAGCGTCTGCCACGGTTTGCTGGGAGACCTTGGTTCAAATTTAACCGAATCGAAGTGAATTATTTTTGTTTAATAATTATAATAAACTATTGGAGTAATTACACAAAAATAATTAATAAAGTTAATACAATGGTGGTGAGACATCCTGACGTTCAGTAAAACTTAATTACAATATAAAATAGTTTTATAGAAAGCAACAACCTGGGGGCCTACCACAACCTCTTAAAACAATATTACTTTAACCTTGCATTGACTTTTCGTACCATGACGCGCTTATAGTAAGCTTATTGTAATGTTAAAACTATGATGTTTTGTCGGCAGCTTTGTGTCTATTCATTTACTCAGTTCGTACTACGACGCGACTTTAACATTAAAGTAATATTGCTCTTATGTCAGATTTAGCAATCTTAAAATAGTTACAAGGATGCAATGGAAACAATGTTATTATCAGTATTATTGTCTTAATATTGATTTGTAATGAGTAAAAGTTAAGTTGAACTTATTTATTTACATATATCTCTTCAATATTTTGTTTATTTTTTATTTAACAGCACATAGGAAATAATTTCTCGTTAAATAAAAATACACGATGTTTATTTCGTAAAATTATGACAGCGACATCTATATGCTCCTTGACGAAACTAACAGTTGACACTAGACTATACCACAACAGGTAATAGCGCGTAGTTTGGTTTGCATAAAACCAAATATGGCGTCTACGAACTGCCATAACGGGGGACCAGCGGAAAGGGGGAGGTGAGGGAACTGTCACTTACGATATGTGAACCACAGATAAAATCATAGACTTGAAGTTCAGATTTTTTATTAGAAGATTACATGCCGTGGACTATACTTCACTTCACTTTTATTTTTATGGCTCCATCATTACATAAAATGATGATTTTGACAATGTCACGGTGGAAAGAAAAATAATAAAAAAAAAACGATGAGTTCTATTATGACGTTAACCGGTGTTGATGGATTGGTTCACCGAAGTACTCAGGTGAGAATCTAAAACAAAAGACGGCACAACACTAGACTATATTTCCGAATTCACAAGGTGACAATCAAGACTCAGCTTGTTTTATTTCTTTTTCTTCATGAAAATGCGGAAAAATAATTAAAAACAACGTAATTTTAATAGATTTCATTATTACATACTTTTCTTTTTTGGCAGTTCAAATTCTCTGAATGTAAATAATATTAAGTACTTTAACACTATACTACGATAACACGATTCGGAACATCAAAAAAGAAAGAGTTGGCATTATATGTACAGTTCATATAGCGTTATTTCTTTCCTATTTTTAGAAAGGAATAGACAATATTGGGAATTCATTCTTTCCTTCAGTCACTTTAGCAATAATACATTACTTGGTTGATAGGTTTGTCATGGTACGAATATGAGTAATATTATAATAGGCTTACTTTAAGCTTACATTGAAATAAATTTATTTTTGGAAAGGTTATTGTAGGCCCCCTGTACATCTTCTACCTAGACTGGCGAAAAGTAGCAGTAGAACTCGTCCAGGCAAGTACTGCCACCTTATCTATTTCTGTCGCCAAGCAGTATTGTGAGCATTACACTACATTTTGAAGGGTAAGGGTGCTGGTGAAATTACAGGCACATGGGACTTGTCAATTTACGTCTCAGTGGCAGTGCCCTTCAGATCTTTGTGAGTTAAAGCTCTGAGTGGTAGAAAGATAGATAGAAGATAGATAATACACTTTATTACTCTCACATAAAAAAGCAAAAACAGTACATAGACAAATTAAAATTAATGTGGGCAGACGCGGCCTTATCGCTGATAGCGACCTCTTCCAGACAACCTTTGAGGCAGAGGAGAACTGAACAGAGAGGGAGACGTAGTGTGCCGGTGATAAATCGGTGACTAGTTTAACTTGAGCTTCGCTATAATGGACGAAAATTGAAAAATTACATAATGTACTAGTTAAGTACCGATGAAATGTGATTCCGTTTGTTTTGTGTTTTGCCTTTTTTTTCCACAATAACGAATGGAACAGCCCCCATTGTCGGAGATATGTTTATTACAATAAATACAGAATATTTTTGGAATATACGGAGACGTACCCATAGGTCAGTTGTTGGCACTGTACTATTGCAGCTTTCTAATTTGTGATTTCAGCGCAAACGAGAGTTGATATTTAAATGAGATATAAAGTCCATTTGCCTGGTGAGTTGCCAGGGATGGATGGCCCTTATTTCGTGTCCATTTCTGGTTATATACTCGATGGTCCGCAAACCCGCCTTCAGGTTCTAATTAATTCATGGTTGACCTATCTATCTCTTTATTGTTCGTTTGTGTACTTACTTAGTGAAGACTTGCTAATAACTACTTAATTTTAATTTGTTGGACGTGACACATTTTAAACCCCTCAAGGGCTTCAGTGCCTTAGTAACTATCTATCTCTACTTGTTTTAATGTATGAATATTACTTATTATAAACTTTTTTAATAAAAATATCCGACCTCAAAAGTTCGTGCGATGACATCTATTTGCCAAGTTTTATTGAAACCGGTTACCGGAAAGCGCACGAAACCGGATTCATCCCCTAGTTTACCACCCTTAATGGTAAAATATTTTCTTCACATTTAAATGGTGCTGGTGACATTACAGGCACATGGGACTTGTCAAGTAATGTCTCAAGGTGACAGACGCAGTGACAGTGTCACTCAAATCTTTGCGGTTTAATCAATACTCAATACATACTTTATTGCATACCATAATGTTATGTACAAGGTGGTAGATAACACAAATTAAGTTCATTATGTTCATTAACGCCACAGCAAAAGACAAAAATCTGAATAAATTAAACTATAGGTTACCTATCAGCAGTCCGAAATGATATTTTTCAGAAATAACGTTTGGTCGAAATTCATAACCTCGAGAGCCATTTTGAGAGGAAAATGGTTTTTCTTTTAAACCTAACTTAACCTAACCTAACCGAACCTAATCGTGTCTTTACAATAAACATTCAACGTATCCTGAAAGAACAACTGTTTCGTTGTAATTCGGTTTTCGGTGTAATGAAAATTCAAACAAACGTTATTTCGGACAAAAACTTTTCAACTTTTTAACTGGTTACCATTAAACGAAATCTAACCCTTATTCTATTTACTTAAAGCCTCAAGATTATTACAGGTACTTACTTAGGTATTATATATTGCTTATTGTGTATTTGTTGAGAAAAAATAATCGTAATACAGACTACTAAACAAACTGACCTCAACTTCTTCCCCTAGTTTGCCACCCTAACAGCCCGTTCCCACTAGTCAGCTGTCGGGCCCGGATCTTAATCGGGTGTCGGCGCCTGTGTTCACACTAATCGGTTGTCGGCCACGATCGAACCTGGTGCCAATTTATAACACTCTACGCGAGGCAGTTTTGCGCCATGGACTTTGCCGAAGTTCTTGTTGTAATGTATTATTATTTAAGAAAACGAATAAAGACACCTAAGGAAAGAAAATATTGGGTGCGCCTTGGGGAAGAAACAAGGGGTAGCTGGGAGCGGGTTGTCGGCCCCAACATCCGACAAATGTGAATAGGTCATACTTATTCGTAGGCAAGCGAGATCCGACATGATTTTTTTCCGGGCGTAGAGGGCTGGCAAATCACCCGCGCGCTTGGCGGGCGTCGCCCGTGCACTCTGCGGTCTGTTCGCGGGCGACGCGCTTCGTAACTTCTGTCTTTTAACATTCACTTTATTGAATATCACGATATTTTATTACCATAATGGCGCTACAATTTATGCCGAATTGTTATAAAAACCAAAAACAAAAATCCGAAACAAGCACATAGAGTAAGTACTTCGTAAGGTCCATTGGTTCGTTCTGTAGCTCAGTTGGGTTGTCAGCCACTGTATTACGAAAGCGTTGGTTCGACTCCAGCTGGATCGAAGGCACTTTTATATATATGTTTCTATCTTTGTATTAATAATTAAAGTAAATCGTGTTCATTTGTTCAACAGCTTTTCGAGACGCTGCGGAAAGAGCGGCCGCAAGAACTAAGCAAGATCGTGCCCATCGTTGGTGACATCACGGAGCCAGAGCTCGGCATCAGTCCTGCAGATCAGGCTTTGCTATGTCAAAAGGTAAATCCCTCTTTCTCAGACGTGTCTTCGATGTTAAGAAACCCAATTTCAACTTGTAAGACGGTGCCTTCTTGGAATTACAAATGCTGGTCGCTGATCAAGAAATGGATTTGGAGCCATTGCTCGCCACTCGAGTTGGCGACTCTATATCCGTAGGTGTGTTCGAAGTGGTTGTTTTTTTTTCGAAGTGCAGGATATTTTCTCCTTCACTAAAAGCAAATGATGAGTGAAGTCATCTAAGTTGATAAACAATGTCAGATCCGTTCCGTTCCCGATTAGGCTATTACGGGTGAAGCATCCTGAAGGACAGCTGATTACAAATAGAAACTGAAGGTGCTGGTATTTGAGATCATTATCGGTTTCCGCCGATCCCGCGGTGTAGCTTTACCCTCACTGATAAAGAGAAGCAGTTTTTAGAAGCAGTAACGCTCCTTGTGAAAGTGTTCGTCTAGGGAAGTATTGCCGCCTTACCGATTTCTGTCGGCTAGCAATAATGTGAGTGTTACTGCCTTCCGGTTTGAAGGGTAAGAGTGCTGGTGAAATTACTGGCATATGGGACTTGTCAAGTAACGTCTCAGGGCAACGGGCGCAGTGGCAGTGCCCCTCAGATCTTTGCGATTTACAGCTCTGAGTGGCATTGTAACTGCTATGGACATGCATATCGCTTACTACCAGATGTACAACTTGTGCGTCCCGTCACTAGGTATCATATAAAAAACTTTCCCAAGAGGTTCTATGTGAAAGCAGAATTCTGAAAGGAACTGGTTAACCAATGTCGGACTAGCACGCGGTAAATATGATAAATGCATTTTGCACTAGTTTTAATATCACTTACCCGTTATCTTCGAAGGATGTTTAACTGTTACGTGTACAATACAGATATAGTCACGAGCGTGCATAATCTATGCTCACAAGATAAGACAACAGGTTGCAAAATAAAGGTCCTATATACAAATCACATGTAACATATGTTTTACACAAAACTATGTGTAACTGAGGAATATAACCACAAAAGCCGTGACCAAGAAGCCTCAAGCAGAGGCCATGGGTTCGAATTCGGATTTTTTTTATAATATCAAGTGACGGGACAAACATGTCGTGTGCGTGATGGTGAGCTACACGCCCATCGCTAATACAAACACACTATATCGCAAAGATCTGAGGGGCACTGCCACTGTGCTTGTAACTGCCACTGCCATGTACCTGTAATTTCACCAGCACCCTTCAAAACCGAATGCCCACATAACTGCTTGGCGGCAGAAATAGGTAAGGTGGCAGTACTTCCCTAGACGAACTCTTTCACAAGGAGCTCTACTGCTACTAAAAATGGTTCGCTCTAAGTTTCTTGGAATTTATGTGCGAAATATAATTTGAAATTTTTTTAAGTCACAACTTGCATTGGGCCAGCGTGGCAGACTATAGCCTAAAACCAAACCTTCTTTAGAAGAGACCCGTACCAAGCTGTGGGACGTATAAATGGATTGGTGGTGAAGATATTGCCATTCCAATACTTCGGGTCCCAAAAAATGGCACTGATTGTTGAAAATTAAAACTTATACAATTTTAATTACTTGTGCAGGTGTCGGTTGTGTTTCACTCTGCGGCGACGGTGAAGTTCGACGAGAAACTGAAACTCTCTGTTACCATCAACATGCTCGGCACGCAGCAGTTGGTACAACTATGTCATCGTATGCTGGGACTTGAAGTAAGTGTTCTTAACAGCAATAACAAATAGTGTTGGACCAAGATTAGAACCCTGCGGCACGCCTGAAATGGCTATGACTCGGTTTTAGGTAGCAGTAGGTACAGTTTTGTTATCATATATTTTGGGAATTACTCTTAATTAAATTTCTAGCTGCTTATCTTTAATGCACAGACAACAGCACATCAAGCTATACACTTCGAATATCGCATCCAGTGCAACGGAATAAGATCCGTCAATGTGTAGCTTGAGCTGCCTAAGTCTAAGTTGTACTTAGAACACTGGTACATTTCGCTTGTCATTAGTAAAATTGTGAACATGATGTAAGTTAATTATTTTTGCCCTTAGATTGCTACTGGGGTAGGCAGAGACTATCGATCACCACTTAGCACGATCCTGATATACCTCTCTTGCCTCACTTACATTCATCAATCTTTTCTTATAGGCCCTCTTCGGGCGTGTCCCCATTATATCGTGACGTTTTATTTATCTCTGATTGTCGCTTTTAGCTTGTTCCCATATCACGTATATATTATTATCGTTGAACGACTGTCGCGCCCAGCTATTCCCACTGGATCGTGACAATAATTTATCGGTTCACGGCAGTCGTCATCTTTTTCACGACAAAATCGTTTGATGTACGGCCTACGGCGCGGGTGACAGATGGGAAAGTAGGGAGCAGAACACGTGCAGACTACGATAAATAAAACGTAACGACAATTAAATAGTAGCTATGATTAACTGTCGTCACGTGTTTACTGTGACGTTTTATTTATCGTCGGGCGACTGTCGTTCCAGCTTTTCCCATTGTCTTGACAGTCTGACGTCGTAACGTGAAAAAAATCGTGAACGACAATTAATATGTGAACAACTTCATTTAAATATATACAAGCCACGACACTTTAAACTGCTCAACTGACTGTCGTTACGACATAATGGGAACCCCAGCCTTTTTAAAAACACTCTCAATTTGACCTGAGAATGTTCCTCGTGGCCGTCCTCTTCCAACGATGTCTTCCACGTTAGCTCTATATATTTCTGTTGGGTCATCTACATTTATTCAACCGCTACATGTGCCCTTACCACCTTAGCATATCCTTCTCTATTTTTGTCTCTTTTGCCTCTTTCAAACCACATCTTAAGTAAGTTAAATAATGTTAAATTATGCAATCCTATTAACTGAATAGAATCAAAAATGAACCTCTGTCGATTTTATGTTTTCAGGCGTTAGTGCATGTATCAACAGCATATTGCAATTGTTCGCGAGAGCGTGTGGAAGAGGTGGTGTACGCGCCGCCCGCGCAGCCAGAACACGTGGTCACGCTCGTCCAAACGTTGCCCAACGAGCTCGTCGATCGAATCACGCCCGATTTAGTTGGTAAGAACGCTTTAATACAGCGACATAACATGCCCAAATCTCGGTCGAATTTCACAAACTATAGAGTCCAGCGATCCCTTAGTCGCTTACAGCAGCGGTTAAAAGGACCAAAACCAACCTGTGCCAATAACCTCACCCTGATACTGCTCTCCTTATGATAGCTAACGTAATAGCCATATTTAGCAAATTTGAGTTATTATCTAGAATCATTAAAACGAGATCTACAACCCCCTACAAGCGGTTTTTTATATCTTATTTAGTTTTCGTTTTATTGTTAAGAATCAATATAGCCTCAAATGCCTTTGATAGATACCGCATAACAATGAAAGTGTTAAATAAATCACTTTGGAAAAAATATGTAGTAAAATTGAGAATATACACTGATTAGTATACGATTCATAAAAATTCGAGATGAAATACAAACTTACCTCGAAATTTTACAAACAAACCGCTGTATTCAATAAATACTTTACATATAACAGTGATTATTTTTATATCAAATGAATAACTAAATAGAACACGTATAGTATACGATATACATTTTTCAAATGGCTCTAATTACGTTTGTAAAAAAAATAATTCTGATTCTAATTCAGTACGGGAAAAATGAGAATTCGAGTTTAAGTAATACGACTCTTAAGCAAAATCAGCGTAATTGGCATTTTTCAAAGAAAAAAAAGTTTTGGTGCCAATATCTCGGAAGTTACCAAAATGCGTTAGTTATGACAAGGAGAGCAGGATAGGTTTTGTCTTTCTTTTTCTCCATTTCACCTGATGGAAAATGACAATGAGGTCGACGATGGAGCGTGCACATCTAAATAATGCCTATTATTCACTGTCCCCTTGAAAAGGCATAAGTTATAAGGTTCAGGCATCGAGTATATAACCAGATATAGATACGAAATGTCATTTAATTTGTTTGACAACTATTTTTTCCCATTTTGTTTGTTTTGCTGTCTTACCCACACCACCTAATGGAAAAGCACGCCATTGTTAGAGATATTATCCTTATTATAATAAATATAGAATATTTTTGGAATATACGGAGACGTACACACAGGTCAGCTGTTGGCCTGTCTTTATTTCAGCGCAAACGAGAGTTGATATTTATAAGTGATGTAACACTGATTAGTTACCAGGGATGTATGGCCCTTATTTCGTCTCTATTTCTGGTTATGTACTCGATGCGTTCAGGGAACAAGTCTGCATACAGGGAATTCCATTCCATAGCTGTTCACCATATAAATGTGGAAGCGTAACGCTTCAAGCGAATCTTTGAAATATCCACAACATAGGGATGGAACAAACGTCAACAAAATTAAAAGACACATTCGCATCATTTGTCTTAGCATTTGATCGAGTATTCTTATTTGAAGTTATTATTTCGGACGGATGTTGGACGGACTATGAGAGTAGACACCCAAAATTGATTCATAGCTAATGCTTAATGCTTTACAGGTGATAGGCCTAACACATATACATTTACAAAGGCGCTCGCGGAAGATATGCTGATAAAGGAGTGCGGTAACCTGCCTGTGGCGATCGTTAGACCATCGATCGGTGAGTAGATCAATAAACAAATTGACTATTAATCCTTTGAAACACGACAGTTCAAGGACGTTTTGATATTTGATACCTTATATAGGACATTAAAAGAAAATGTTTGAAGAAAAATTTGTTCCAAACGCGCGTGTTATTTATAACTAAATCATTTTTAGTTGGCATAGCGTCTGGTACGGTTTGCTAGAAGACGTCGGTCCGAATCCGGCCGGATCGAAGGAATTTTTTCTAAGTCCGAACGGTCTTTGTATTATAATCATAACAAGCTCGTGGAGTAATTTCACAAAAAATAATTGAATATCAATTCAATACAAATTTAATTACAGTTAATAGCGACATCTCTAGCCAGAGCT